TATATAATGTTAGTGCAATGAGCAGTCAGGGTGTTTCATTTCTTTTAAATGCCTATTTTTTCGTTCAACAAGAAGCTATGTACAAAGGAAAGACATGGAACCATGATTCACGTTAAGAACACTAGTCCAGTACACCAAGGATCATAGTTTGATAAGAGCTGTAAAGCTTTTGCTATTATTTTGGGTAAATGATATTGCATATGTAATAAAACATTTCATTTCAGTTGTATATTTAAAACTTAAAGCTGATATTTGAAAATTCATTCTCTAAAGTTAGTAAAGAAAGTTTATATTTTCTCAAATATCTTTTTTAACATGAGTTAAGGTATTTTAAATCACGTTAGAGGTATAATTTTAAGGAATCCAAATTTGTAATTGTATATTCCCCTGGGTCTTTAGATCAGATAATAATCATTATACATATTAATTTATATTATTTTACATATATATTTCCATTGTTTTTGACAGCCATTATCTCTAAAATCAGTATGATGAAATAAGGTTAGTTATATTATATCTGAGTACTTTTATAATTTCATTGCAACATCTTGGAATTCCAGATTTGCTGACTTTAATCTCTAGTGGTTTATGAAATTTTAGCTACTAAAATTATGTAAAAAAAATTTTAGAGAGCATCTTAGTTGTCAATTGCAAGAAATTTTTACAGTAGTATACTTTTCTTAGCACTTAATACAAGAAAAATTTGTATGCTTAAAAATGGTGTTAGTTGCTTGGCCAAAAGCTGTAGAATTGAAATTTTAATTCATAAAACTTATTAAATTTCTGAAAGCTCTTCCAGAATGGGCAGAGAGAATGGGAGAAATGTTTTAAAATAAGCCAGCATATTTCTCCTTCTTTGCTTCAGAACACATTGTTCTCAACCAGAATCAACTTACTCCCCTCTCCCAGATGCTTACCCAATGTAGTAATCTCTTTGTATATTTCCACTCTTGGCCTTTTGTTGATTTTCAGAAAGTGAAGCAAGTGAATAATGAAAGTTCAAGTTAATTCAGTGAGCACATATTTACTGATTGTCTATCAAATGCCTAGTAGTCCAGTAGTGTCTTCTGTGCTCAGTACCTCATAATTGAAAAATATCTTGAAAGCCCTGCTGATTAAAGCAAAATGATTCATAGGTTTTAATGCTCAACTGATACCGAAGCAATTTATAGAAACTAAAATATTGATAAATGAACCTCTTACTGCTAAGCTTTGCTGAAAGGCATGGTTACAGTCTGACTGTTTCAGTTAATCAAATTCCATTTAATGACATGCTAAATAATATATAAATTTTCCTGGCTCACATAAAATATACTTCAGATAGGAGCTTTACCAGACATATAAGCTGGTATGAGAATTTCTAAACAATATCTAGCAAATGTGTAGAATTGTCTTTATTGTAAAAATATTTTTAAATCAAATAAACATGTTTTGTATATATATTCTCTGTGTAACTTTGTAAAAATAATTAGATTAAATTGTTTTAAACTTAATACCTTGCCCTTAAGAATTTTACAGTTAGCAGAAATATTATATCAGTCATATGTGGTGTCTACATTGTAAGATTAAATATAGTAAAAATTCCTTAAATCATCCATAAAATAATTATATAAATGCTTTCCTCTAAATGCATCACCATATACAGTAATGTATATAACTGATAAAGCTAATATATGTTATCTATTTTAAGTATAATTTTCCATGAGAAAGATAGGTGTGTAATAGTTGGATTCACAAGCCTTAACTATCCAAATGATGTGACTCCAGTTTACATCCAAGTAAGTGTGTGACCTCCTTTAATGTATCTATTCTCAGCTAAAAGAAGATTTCCAACATATTAAGCACTTACCTGCATTCACATCCAAACTTGTGACTATCCAACTGTACATTAGTTTGAGCAGGCCAGCCATTTGGAGAGGCAGTTTCGTGATGGTCATAAAAAGACTATTAGACAGTTTGACTAGTTGTGAAACTGTCTAGCTTTCTTCTATCTTATGAACAAGACCTTTCTTAAATATGTTTTATACTTTCTTCTCAATTCTTACCTCCCTACCCTACTTTCAAGCCTGGATTGCCTCTTGCCTAAACTATAATAAAGGTTTCCATACTTCTTCAATTTGCCATATACATTTAGTCAAACTATCATCCTAATGTAAAAAAATATAAATCTGCCCATACAACTAATTTGCTTTAAAACCTTCAATGGCTCCCCATTTTCTACAGAATTATATATGAATGTCCCTCTGCATTTATGGTCTCCACTAAGTGACTCCAGCTCTCTTTCCACTTCTAGTTGAACTGACCATTCCTATACACACCTTAATCTTTTATTCCACTGTGCTCTTGCCATTTTCCCTAGGATACTCTTTTTTTAAATTTTGTCTATAGAAATTCTGCTTATCCTCTAAGGTTCAGCTGAGATAACAGTCCTCAAGTTGATGTGATTTTGCCATATCTTGAACTTCTATTGCACATCATTTATTGTACCTACCTTATGATATTTATCATAGTTTTCTTTGTATTAAATCATTCAGGTACCTGCCTTATCTCTCTCTCTGAGATCATGGCTCTTGCCCTCAAGGAAATTATGTTTTACTCATCTTTTTATTTCCTGTAGCACCTAAAACAGTGCTGGATACAGAAGAGATGCCTGATAAATATTTGAACGGAATTCAAATTAGTTACCTTGGAAAGTTATCTATACTGATTTTAATAATGTTCAATTTGTTAAAAAGTTTTTGAAGTTCTTTTAGAATTACAGTTTCTTTAAGGGCCCATGAGATTCTTTTAAATACTTTCAGTAGTGAAAAATCTTAATCTTTGAGAGAAAATCTGAATTTGAAAAATAGAATTTGTTCTGAGCCATGTTTACTGAATAATATGTATGTTCAATCTGGGCTGTTATATTTTCAGTTAAAACAAAGGGAATGTGAAGTAATGAGATATAATCTCTTGGTGAGCCATGATTGACAACTCCAAAAGCAAAGTTCCCAAAATGTTTTCAACAGCATTGTAATGACTTTATAATTTCCTAAGTTTTCTCCTTTGGGATTTTTATAAATTTCTTAAATCACTCTTGTCCCCTTATAGATTCATTTTGCAGTTTTCCAAACCAGGGAGTTGAAAAATGTGTTTGGAAGTTAAAAAAGAATTATATCACCCTGATCATTTGAAATAGTGCATTTTATAGGTTTTGGTGAGTGAGAAACTTTGTCATACTGTTGTACCAAACAAAACTTCCAAATTTGAGGGAAACATTTATACAGCAGTATGATTTCAAAAAGCCTACAAATTCAGCTACTATATTTGCCTGAATAAAAGTAACTGAAGAACAGATTTGAAGTAAACAATAAATGGTAATTGAATATAGCATTTTAGTATTATGTAACTGGTTCTGTAGAATTATAAAACAAAAAAGGGAAACTTCATTTCTTCCCATGTCACATGAAATTTATATTTGTATATTAATATACTTATAGTAATTGTTCATTTTCTTGGTTATACACAATTGACTTATGTAGAAAACCACATTTTATATTCTTAAAATGTATAATTTCAATTTTTAAAGAAATATAGTTACCATGTTTAGTATATGTATCATTTTTACTATTTCATATATGACTTTTCAGTAGTTAGTGGTTTATGTTGTTTTTTTCAAATTCGTTTGGTTTAACAGAGTTTCTACAGCAACTTTATATTGCTGGTCCTCAATTATCCTTTCTAACAAATGGGAGTGTGTACCCAGATAATTTAAAATAGTTGGATACCTATTTTTTCAAGCATATATTATGTGATTATATTAGCAGATTTATTTCCTTCACTGAGGCTAACAATCAACTTACTTTACAAACATTATATTTTATACCAAGTATTCATGGGAGAACAAGAAAGTATACATTTAGATTTTTTTTTCTGTAGAAGTGTATCATTCTCAGTTCACTATTTTTAAAAATCAATTATTCAAACCTCTTCATGACTTTCAGTCATTCTAGTTAATTGCTATTTTGCTGTAATTAGATTTTAACTTGAGTAAATGTATTTAAAATATTCTTTCCTTAAAACATTATTTGGTATTTATATAATTTATAGCCTATCCCTAGCATATTGATATATTTTGAACTCAAAGTAAAATGACACATCTAGTGGCCAGAGACAATAGTAATGTACCTGAAGTTTTAGTGATTGAGGATATTACTTTACCATTTACATTGACTGATTATCACTCCTTATAAGTAGGTATAATGCTAATTCCCAGGCCATCACTGAATATAGTTTATCTTAAACAATAAATGTTTGGTTGAATACAACTTTTCCACCACCACCACTTAACAAGGCTGATTTGACTTCTCAGTTTCTCAGGAAATTCACGTTTGGGATGGAGGAGAGGGCAAGTGGAGAGTTTGGAGTACTCCCCAATCCTTCTGTGCCCCAGGAGAAAGTATGGCTAAGTCTAAGCTAACTGAGCCACAGCCACAAGACCACCTTGGTCTCTGTAAGCACTCCCCAGAATCCAGCAGGAGTAACACCAATCTCCTTGTGTGGCAATGATGATGTATTCAGGTGTTGCTGGTTATTCATCTTAATAATTTCTACTTAAAAAGAGACTTGCAGTTGTGTAGAATAAAGAAATCTAGAGAGCTAATATACAGCATGACAACTATAGTTAATAATTTGATTATTGTAAATCACTTACTCCACAGAGAACTGCATTTTTATTATATTTTATTGATCACAGATTTCCTAACCATATTTACAGACCCCAACAATGCTCTAGAAATATTCTTAAATTTCCAGGGTAACTGCACCACTTTCAAATTTTCCCACAGAGGAAGGCCATTTAAACCTGTTGTGTTCAATAAGGAAACAACATTATCTATATGGGGAATATGCTTTGAATGTAGACCTATCTTAACATTTTATATACATTTTGGTGCTGATCAACATTCTAAGTAGAAGTAGTGTTGCTGCATACTTTAATGAGATTCCATTTGTTTCCACAGATTTCAGGAAACCTTACTGTGCCTTGGATTACAGGGTGTTCCAGAAAAAGAGCAGTAAGTAATCTTTAACTTAAAGCAGCAATTTGGTTTTCCTCTGTGTTTTTAGTAGGAATACCATTGAGAAAAATTGTCATGATAATTATATATGTGGAAAACTGTACCTCAATAAGACTGCATTATCGCAAAGGACATATTTTGAGATCATAATATACTACAATACATATGCTTCAATAAAATGCAGTAATAAGCATGTTTTATAAACTTTGAGCAGATTTTTGCAATTTTAAAAAGCATTCAAAGGTAATTCATAAAATACAGTGTTTCTACATCTGACTAGCCCAGTTAATTTGATCATGTAATTGAATCATGATTGAAATAACCATCCCAATCAACATTAAATAATTTACATTACTACTTAATATTAGTAAATTCAGTTTTTATAAATGACGCATAACTAATATTTTAACTATCTTATTTTGTTTTTCTGGATTTCTGCTACCACTTTTGTGATTTTTATGTTAATATAACAGAATTTCATTAAAATTATGTTTTCCAAAAAGATGTCATTTAGTTGGTCTGTGTAGGACACAAAAATCTGCATTCTTTTTTGAGAGGGCATCTCTCATATTTATTGATCAAATGGTTGTTAACAACAATAAAATTCTGTATAGGGGACTCAATGCACAATCATTAATCAACCCTGAGCCTAATTCTCAACAGTCTCCAATCTTCTGAAGCATAACGAACAAGTTCTTACATAGTGAATAAGTTCTTACATGGATGACTTGTCCATAGTTGGGAAACTTACAATATTTTAATTGCAAAAGAGACATGAATAGACATTTATAAAGATACCTCAAGTTATTGTATGGTTGATAGGTTTAGGGATAATAAAGCTGAAGCTATGACTTTAGTAATAGACAGGATTATGTATACTCTATTCTCTCTTCTCTTCCCCACAAAATAGAACTATAAACCATGGAATTAGTATAGTAGGCCACCAAAGAAAACTCTGAAAGATGGAAATATAACAACTTGTTAGGGACACCAGGACTTGGAGGAATTGCAGGGTATTTTGTCTCCCATGTAAGGGCAGATGGTAACTCAGGCCAGGCATCTCATAATCTCCAATCTAACAAAATAGTACAATTTAGGTAAACTCAGTCATCCTGCTGTTGGGATGGGAGTCCCACAAACAACATGAAGTGAGTCTGGGAACACTAGCAAAGGACATCAATTGGAAATCTCAATGACAATAGGCAGCCAGGGGAAGTGCTCTTCTTCCATGCTAGACCTGAACCTTTCACCCCTCGAAGACACAAGACAGCAATGCTAAGGGAGTTAATGCCATAAAAAAACCCAGCATGGCTTAGGAAGCCTCTTTATTCCCTGTAAGTACGATAATTTTTCACCCACCCAGGAAGCCAGGTGACTTGGTTAGCATCTGCAAAAGTGATCAAGACATTGTAAATGCCCAGCCCAGCAAGGATGGAAAATCTATTTTCCCACCTAGAGATACCAGTCTCTTGGATGGTACCAACAAAGGGACTCTCCCTACAACAATCACTTGGACTGGAGAAGGGTCTTTCTGTCTCCTCAGGTAGAAGCATTAGGGATCAGTGGAAGCCCAAGTGGCACCAGATAAATCAAGCAAATTAAAATAGTACAACAGATATTCTGAAAATTAAAGTATCATTGGGACCACAGCACATAAAAGTATTCCAGGACATGTGAGCTAAACATAACTGGGTAACTGCCAGATAAAACAAAATTATTTAAATAATACCAAAAGTTGGGAATGTATATTGGTACAGCCACTATGGAAAGTAGTTCGGAGGTTCCTCAAAAATCTAAAAATAAAAATATAATATGACCCAGTAACTCCACTTCTAGGGAATTTACCTGAAGAAAACAAAATCTCTGATTCAACAAAGATATATGCACCCCTGTGTTTTTCACCGCATTATTTACAAAAGCCAAGATACAGAAGCAACCAGTGCCCATAAATAGATGAATGGATAAAAAAGATGTGGTATGTATACACAATGAAATATTATTCAGCCATAAAAAAATAAATAAATCCTGCCATTTGAAAGAACATGGATGAACCTAGAGGGTATTATGCTAAGTGAAATAAGCCAGATGGAGAAAAACAAATGCCAGTGCTTTCACTTATATTGTGGAATCTAAAAACAAAAGGAACAAAATGTATAAACTCATAGACACTGAGAAGTGACTGATGGTTACCATAGGTGGTAGATGGTTGGAGTGGGTAGGTGGGATGGATAAAGGGGTTAAAGAGGCACAAAAATCTCAATCATGATGTAAGTTGTTCATGGGGGGGAAGTGCAGCATGGAGAATATAGTCAATGGTTCTGTAACATGTTTCTATGTTGATAAATAATAAACTGCACTAGTTAGGGTAAGGATTTAATAATGTGTGTAACTGTTGAATCACTGTGTTGTGTACTTGAAATCAATATTATATTGTATATCAACTATAATTCAATAAAATGTAAATATTAAATTTTTAAAAATAAAAATAATTCCTGCCTCTCTTCCCAACACCAAATTTACAGCCTTGATAGGGACTCAACATCTACTCCATGAACTTGAACCTATCTACAGTTGCCACCTAAAGTTCAAGTCAATCCAAATCATTTTGAAACCCAGTCCTGTCATCTGACACAGTCACTCTCCCACCCACAGATTTGATACACATGTTTTATTTGGCCTCATCCAAGTCCTTTAAAAATACATTATACGAAGTAAGTCAGCATGAAAGACTGAGCCCTCATCAGGGCTCTAGCCTGTGCTCCAGGCTGCCATTGCTTCACTAATCAATTCTCCTCTATCAGCTGTCCAGACAGAAATGCCCCTAGAGTATCACTATTTGATCCCACCTCTTGTCTTGCCATAAAATTATTTTGGAAGATGTTCCAAATGTTTTTCTGAAATTAGATTCTCAAGATTCTGAGAGACCCTTGATTTATTACTTGGGTTCCCCCCAAGAAGAGATGAAAGATTAGCCTGACTTCCCTTTCAACAAACCTGTCCTGGATCTTGGTGACCACTACATTTTCTTCTTACATTTTTAATGATATAAATCGTTCATTTTTCTTCTGTCTTCATTGGAGATGATAAATCTGAAGAATTTTCAGTCCTCAATGGAAAGTCTCATTTACAAATAATCAAATTAACACAGACAACTTGCCTACAACCCTTGGCTATTGCCTGAAAGTGATTCAAAACACTTAAATGAAAACTGCCTCTACTACAGGAAATCTGCTCTCTGAATGAATGAAGGTTTTCTATAGGAAAGTAAATTTCCATCCTGCCTTTCTGACTCATTATAAATATATAAAGGTGAAGTTCAAATAATTGCTGTCTTGTAATATATTGAGTAAAATGTTCACTTGTTAAAGATATAACAACATTAGTAAGTGAGAGAGAAGCCATATTGTTTGAAAAGGTTAGCTTTTTACTTCTTTGCAGATTTATGCCCTGTGGCTTCTATGCCCAGCATTTGTCTTGAGGTATCTTTACCACCTGGAGGAACTATGATACTTGGTAAATTCGATATGAGGCACAAATTCTATTTAAGAATTGTAATTAGAAAGGAAGAAGAAAAGCTATAGAGGTAGCAGACGGAAGAAAACATGGGAGGACTGATTATTTCTTTGACATATCTTCTTGTTGAGTAACTTAAGCATGTATAGGTTTTAAACTACTAATTAAATTGCGCACACACATTAACATAATAGGAGTACAGTTACATAACCAAAGCAGACCTATACTTACCAGCCATCTCCAGTGAAACCAAGAAAACCAGTTAGGCACCCTAGGCCTTTGTGAAAATTTGTCTATGATATGATGGATATTGTCCAAATGTACTTGAACAGTCTGAGAGAAATCAGACAAATTAAAACAACCCATTCCTGGGAACTGTTCACATCCCATATGTTCTTTTAACAGTAGATAGTCTGTAGTTGTAAGATTTTGGAGCGCTACAACTTGCACTTCTCCTAATTCTTGGTTGAGTTCCAACAGTATAGATCCAGTCAAATTTGTTGTTTTACTGAAAGCACAGGCCAGCTTAGATATCTCCTTCTTCATTCCAATGGCAAGTCCAGGAACTGGTGGGATGGATGCAGCATAATAAAGGGAGAAATGTGGGATCCACATATAAATCAAGTATAAAAATCAAACGAATATGCATATTTGACCTGATTTTTATAGTTCATAATGCGTGATCAAAACCGAAAGTTTCTGTGATGACTGCCCTTGTACTGTTCACCATGTAAGAACTTATTCACTATGTAAGAATTTGTTCACCATGTAAGAACTTGTTCGTTATGCTTCAGAAGATTGGAGACTGACGAGAATTAGGCTTGGGGTGGATTAATGATTGTGCATTGAGCATTGAGTCCCCTATACAGAATTTTATTGTTGTTAACAACCATTTGATCAATAAATATGAGAGATGCCCTCTCAAAAAAAAATATATAACAACATTGTGTCTTAACAGAAGCTTGGTTGTATATTTTAAGACCTAGAAAAATAAATAATTTTAGATAATTTTAAATTATGAAATATTAGACCAAAAATCTCCTAACATAATATGTCAAAGTGTCCAGGATACAATTGAAAATCAAACAGCATACCAAGAACCATAAAAATCACAGCTTGAATGAATAAATGACAATCAACTTACAGTAACACTGTGGTACATTAGATAATGGAATTATCTGACAAGGATTTTAGAAAATCCATGTAAAAATGTTTCAATAAGCAATTACAGATGATCTGAAATAAACAAAAAATAGAATATCTCAAGATAGCAATTAAGAAAGTTATGAAAGAACCAGATTAGAATTATAGAACTGAAAAATGCAATAACTTAAATTTAAAAATTGGTGGACAGCTCAGTATTTGAGTTGCAATAAAAAATATAGAATAATTAACTTTAGGACAGATTGATATAATCTACCCAGTGGGAACAACAGAGAGAAAATACACTGAAAAATAATAAACAGAGTCTAAGAACTCTGTGG